ATGAATGATACTAATCATATTAAAGTAACTGTTCTAAATGCACAAAAAGGTTTGAAGGTAATTTTGTTTTTTTTCTTGATAATTTATTTATTTATTTATTAAAAGATGTTTAATTAATTTGGTATAATTAATTTGATTTAATTTTTAGAGTCAATTTGATGGAGCATATAAGACTAATTCATCATGTCAGATCCTTAGCATTTTAGAGGGAGGAATTAAATTTTTTCAATATTTACTAAATAATTGGTGTGGATACACGATACTTTGTTGGTCACAAGTTGGGAGAATAAATGCAGCAAAAGTTTTGAACATTGATGTGTCGTCTATCCCGACTACCAATAATTGTATTGAATCACTTGATAATCATCTCAATAAAGAATCTTTACGTCAACTTCAAAGGCGAGGTACACAATTACGAGTTGATGTATTGGTCATGTACTTGGTTGAATGCGTTACACCTAATTTTATGAAAAGACGTAAATTCCAAAAATCATTGGAAGAGAACCTAAAAATACAACATCAGAATTATATAGATCAACGTTACGTGGAACTTTTAAAAGCAAATTATAAATATTCTGTATATACGGAGCCTGATAAAGAACGAGACGATGAGGCAAAAAAAATCGCATCATCATTTTGGGGAATTGTGAAATACGAATACACGGATAAACTTAATGTATGGATAAAATCGGCTAAAAAAAGCGATATCACTTATGTGGCATGTATATATCCAATTGCAGAGGTATCATGCCAATGTATTGATTTCCTTTCTAAAGGATGCGCATGCAAACATATTCGCGCATCGATATTATATATGAATAGTGTTCAGATGGAAAATATTCCTTTGGTCACATTACCATCACGCGAAGTAGCAGAATTGGCATTGGACATTGATGCTGGTAATGATTAAAAAATTTTAATGAATTTTTTTAAATTTTAATGAATTTTTTTTAAATTTTAATAACACGATTTAATAGATGGCGATATTTGGATGATTTCCGATGAGACAGAAGATGATAGCAGTGAAGAGATTATGGAGGCCTCATTGAAAAATGATGATAAATTAAAAGCTACCCAAAATATTCCTACCATATTACCTAATTTGAAAGAAACATCGACAAATGTGACATCTTCAAATCCCAAACAAGATATGCAGAATACATGTCGTTCAATATTAAATTCACTTCAGTCAATTTCAGAAACTTCAAAATCTTTAGATAATGTCGTTTTAAATTCAAAAAATTCAAATAATGTTAAAAAAGGGCGAAATCACTTTGAACATGGCAAAAGAAAAAAAACAAAATTACCTTCAAACCTTTTTGTGCATTTAGAACAGTTACTTTAATATGATTAGTATCATTCAT